AGATCCAAAAATCCAGACAGTTCCAAATAAAATGGACCCAAGGAGACCCACAAGATACATTATAATTAGTGAAAAAAAAGACAAGGACAGAATCTTAAAACCAGTAAGAGAAAAACTACTTGCTAGGGAACTCTTTGCAGGACCATCAGCAGGCTTTTCAGTTGAAACTTTGCAGGCCAGATGGGAGTGGCAAAATATATTCAAAGTGCTGAACACTATTAGACAATGGTTGAAAATAAAGAAGACAAACCAAAAAAATATTTACATGCTTGGGAAAATGGATTTAGGGTTGTGGGGGAGGCAGTAGATTGCATTATCGAGACAGAAATTTCCTCATAGAGATTATAATGTGTTTGTTTCTTGCTTGTCTTTGAACACTGCAGTATCTACTAGGTATTCAAAGTGTTTGGTTTGAATATTTGCTTGACTTGTGAAAGATACAGTTACAAAAAACTGTTGACCCAGTAATGACTGATCATTTTACAAGTTTTTTAAAACTTGTCAGCATTTATCTCCTTAGAAAGTTAATTTTCTTTCACTGAAATTATACAGCAATTTATTCTGTGTGTTGCACAGAATGGCCGCATCCTGGGGTGCCTAAGTGGCTCAGTCAGTTGAGTACCCAACTCTTGATTTTGGCTCAGTTCAAGATCTCAGGATTGTGGGATAGAGCCCCAAGTCGGGCTCCGTACTCAGCAGGGAGTTTGCTTGGATTTTCTCTCTCCCTCTTCCTTAGCCCCTCCCCCACCCCTGTGTGCTCTCTAAAATAAATGACTAAATCTTTAGAAAAAAAAAAAGCTGCTTCCTCAAAAACAAACAAAAATGGTATATTAACAAAACTCAGACATACTTTGGGGTTATATTCACTGTAACTGTGGACTTATTATGATTCCTTTCAGCCCTGAGGACCAGGCTTAGAGTAGAAAAAAAAATTACAACTGATCTCAATCTCAAAAATTGCAGAAACAGTCTCTTCCACTAACACATGCAGTTTCTGAGAATTCAGGCCAAACATCCAGCTATCCACCAGAAAATACACAGGGAATTACCATTGAAATGACTAGTCACTCAGCTTGCCTTGTGGTTTTAGTTTCTGTAGTGAGGCTTTGAAGACCCTTGCTACTTTCAGTTTCTATTTCACATTCTAATCATCTGTTCTCTGATGGCCGGGGGCAGGTAAGAAATCCCCAGGACTGGGGAAGAAGTAGATCAGAAACCAACACACCTAAACTGAGGGACAAAGAACTCTTAAGACATTCTCAGGGAAGCAGCTTTCTTACCAGCTCTAAAGGATCTCTGCTACTGGATTTACAGTTAAGGAAGACTGGAGCAAGGGTGGGAAAGATTTGCAAGGGTCAGAATGTTTTCAAAACTTTCTATCCAGGATAGGGTGCAGTAGAGCCTGATGTGGACCATTAGACACAATTAATGACTAAATTGTGATGTTCTAACACAGGGAGCAGAATTCACTAAGCTCCAGCTACATCTGCTTACTGCTGAATCAGACACAAGCATGAGTGGGGACTAAACTGACAATCTGAAATGTCTTAACACTGTTTTCCTCTCTTTGCCACCTTGAGATCTATAGAGATCATACCTGCCACTTAAGTTACCTTTGTTTTTTATAAAACCTGATTAAGTTATCTCAAACTGCAATCTGAAAGTTTGAAGAACTGCAACTGTTTTATCTTTATGAGAAAGAGCAATGAACGGGATATAAGGTAAATAGCTTGCTTACATTGTTAAAAACGGAAAAAGAAAAAAATTGAAACTCAGAGTGAACAATGAAGAGGTTTAATGAAAACAACTATATACTTTTAGTCATAGACTTGAACCTAATAAGATGGATTTCTTCCTTTAGAAATAATCCTGGATTAATTAATGTTTATTTTCCGGCACGCACTCGTTCCTTAGGGCTTCTTGTGCTGGATTCTGTTTCTCCTCTATTGTCTCTACTATCATGAATCATTTAATTTGAGTTGCCCAACTTGACCCATCAATACTGTCTGGCAATTTTGTTTGCTCCTTAGCGCTCATACCTTTGGATTTCTTGCCACGACACATGCTTCATGCATTTTCTTCCTGTTTGATTTCCATTTATCTCCTTGCTAAAAGCCTTTCCTCCCCCTCCAAACTCAAACCAAAAACAATGCAAAACAAAGCAAAAGCAAACAATAATAACAAACAAAACCAACTAGAATTGTATGGCTGATAACAGAGATGATTTCCTCTAGACACGCCATCACTAGCACTTCTTAGCCTTTTCTCCTATATTTCTTGGCATTTTCCTTTTTTATACTTTTTTCTCCTTCTCCTTCAGCTCTCTTTTCTAAGCTAGAAGTTATACTGGTATAAATAAACATTTACCTCTATTTTTTTTTTTTTCCACAAATAGGCTAAGAGTGTTGAGTAGAAATGCCAATGTCATACAAATAGCCACTTGTAGGGCTAGTATTGGAAATCAGGTCTGCCTTACTTCAAAGCCAAATGTGTATTTGTGTGTGTGTTGATCCATTCTTGCATTTTTTAAAAAAATATTTTTATTTATTTATTTGGGAGAGAGCAAAAGTGAGAGAGATCACAGAGACAGAGGGAGAAGCAGACTAGCTGCCAAGCAGAGAGCCTGATGTGCTGCTTGATCCCAGGATTATGGGATCATGACCCAAGCCAGACACTTAATGACTGAGCCACCCAGGCGCCCCTTTTGCATTGTTTTTATTTACAAAAGTTTATGAGGCTCTAACAGAGTTAAAAAGAATGCATCTCAGAGCACACATCACAGGCCGGGCTAGGAAAGGCAGAGCAACCGTTAATTATATATGGGTGTGTTCATGTTGAATCTGCAAAGATGTTTTGGAGATTGGGCTCTCCTAAAAGCATTAAAGATGTCACCCAGATAATATTTGGGGGCAATGTGTAAAATACTTCTATTAATATAAATACACAGTGCTAATGTTATTCTTTAGGAGGTCTGAAAATTCAGACCCATAGTTCCCTCTCCCATTAGTGACATCATCCTAAAGCACAAAAGCTTGTAAGCCTCCAATATCTGCAAATAGATTTGGATTGTGTATCTTCTGTTTTTCTAGCTAACTGTAGATCATCACTGCCAGTTCCCCATATCCTTGTAATCTAAAAATGATTATGACCCCTGCTTTATGTAAATCAGGCAACCAGAACTCTACAAATGTACGGTACCAATATTATATTGGAGATGCATTAGAATGGAAATAGACTTGGCATTGGAGTCTGTAAAATCATGGAGTCCCTCCTTGGGTTCGGGTTGGCCTGGGCATTTCCTGGCTGCCATGTCCATGGTGCTGTGCCATTTGCAAAGGATCACCTATGATCTGCCCTTAAGCAGTTTGTTTTTATTTGTCACCTGAATAATCTCCAGTGCATTAGCTATTAGGAAGAGGGGAGAATGAGTTCTTATAATTTTTTTTTTTTTTTAAAGATTTTATTTATTTATTTGACAGAGAGAAAGACAGCGAGAGAGGGAACACAAGCAGGGGGAGTGGGAGAAGGAGAAGCAGACTCCCCGCCGAGCAGGGAGCCTGATGTGGGACTCGATCCAGGGACTCCAAGATCATGACCTGAGCTGAAGGCAGACGCTTAACGACTGAGCCACCCAGGCGCCCCGAGTTCTTATAATTTTTAGAAAGCAGTTTCTACCACTGGCTAATAAGGGAATCCATAACTTTTCAATTAAGATTTTAGTGAAAGTCAAGCAGATATTGGATTTTTAGTTTCTGTAGTAAATAATCACTTCTAAAATGGAAGAAAATTGCTCTTATAATAAGGCAAGGCAGAAAACCAAACATTTTCTTAAAAATGCTTTATCAGCAACTCTTCAGGTTACAGGAATTGATGCCCAGAAGTCAATGGCCAAGGATTATTTACAAAGGTATTTTCACCCTCACTCTCATTCATAAAACAATCATGAATTGAAGTTTTGATTGAAGAAGGCACTACTACAGCTATATAAAAAATTCTTTAAAAGTACAGTTATAAGAGGCACCTGGGTGGCTCGGTGGATTAAGCATCTGACTCTTGGTTTCGGCTCAGGTCATGATCTCAGAATCCTGAGATGGAGCCCGTGTTGGGCTCTGTGCTGGGCATGGAGCCTGCTTGAGGTTCTCTCTCTCCCTCTCTTTCTGCCCCTCCCTGGCTTGTGTGTCCTCTCTCTAAGCTCTAAATAAATAAATAAATAAATAAATAAATAAATAAATAAATAAATAAATGTTTTTAAAAAAGTACAGCTATAAGAAGTAAACAATTATGATTTGTTAGATTATGCTACATAATGACCTGGCAGGATTTAGTATAATACAGTTTGACTAGACATAGCCCTACATTAGAGGGAAACAAGTTGATAAATGGTAAAAGCAAGAAGTATAATATAACAAATGGTGGTCATAAAGATTCAATCTAAGGATTCGGGAAGGTAAAAACTAGGGAACACAAGCAAGCCAAAAACCTAAAGGGAAGAGTCAGATTTAAACTAAAAATAGGTAAAACTCAGGAAATGGATTTCCTTATGCCCACCAAATACTTAAGAACCAATGGGGTAGCCTGTAATAGTCCTGAGAAGGGCCTAGAACTTATTTTACTATGACCCTCTTTGCTGTCTTTTTTTCAGAAATTTCTTTAGAAACATTGGCCATGGGGCGCCTGTGTGGCTCAGTCGGTTAAGCGGCTGCCTTCGGCTCAGGTCATGATCCCAGGGTCCTGGGATCGTGTCCCGCATCGGGCTCCTTGCTCGGCGGAGAGCCTGCTTCTCCCTCTGCCTGCCTGCCACTCCCCCTGCTTATGCTCTCTCTCTCTCTCACTCTCTCTGTGTCAAATAAGTAAATAAAATCTTTAAAAAAAAAAAAAAGAAAAGAAACATTGGCCATTTTGGGAAGTAGTATGTCCCCAAGTTCAGGAAGCAAAATGACTTTCTTTTCTGTAAAACCAGAAATTTTGAACTACCTCATCTCTTCCCTTGCAGACAAAGTCACACCATAGACATGACACCAAAGATCCACATGCCAGCCCCAGTGTGCTTCATTGAGAACATCAGAGGGCAACTGGTGGCTAATCAGGAAGCTTTGGAGATCCTGGCAGCCAATAAGAATCCTCTTGTTGTGGTGGCTATTGTGGGCCTCTATCGCACAGGCAAATCCTACCTAATGAACAAGCTGGCTGGAAAGAACAAGGGTGAGTGGCACCACCAGAACTCTGCAAAGTCCCTTCTGTCCACCCACACTGCCAGCACTGAGTGCAGTGATGAAAGGAGAGAAAGTTAGAGACAGGGAGCAATGCCAAAAGCTAATGTTTGGGCTACAGGTGGCTAATTATCTTCTGGGAAGCAAAGGCATAGGTCTGTTCCTGACATATCATCTCTTTTTCTTCTCTTAGTTTCTCCCTAGAAAAAGCATATTTTCCAATCTTGAGGAGGAAGACATCAATAAAATAATTTCTACACATGTAATTATAAACTACTAAAATGTGTGACATTCCTGTAAAAAGGAAAAATCAAATTTATAACGTATGGTATTTGATACTCTCATTTTCCCATTCCTCTATTCTAATTCAGATCAATACTGGCTATACTTTTTGATGTGTCCTCATCGTGCATTCCTTAAACCCTAGCTCAGTTGTCAGGAAGATTTCCAACTTCCAGATCCCCTCCTCTCTTACTACCTCTCCCTTCCCCCTTGCAGGCTTCTCTATTGGAACCACGGTGCAGTCTCACACCAAGGGTATCTGGATGTGGTGTGTGCCTCATCCCAAGAAGCCAAACCACACCCTAGTTCTTCTTGACACAGAGGGTCTAGGAGATGTAGAAAAGGTAAGGAACAAGAATTCCTTTTGATTCCTCCTCACCTCTGAACATTCTTTACACAGGGAGGTTTGTTCTTGTGTTTGTTTTTCTGAATTTGTACTTCTGTTTGACAGAGTATACCTTTTTTCCCTTTCTATTTTTAATTAATATTTTAATCAAAATTTAGAAATCTGAGATGAGAAAAATATATTTATAAGCCAGAATCATGACTGGGACAAGACACTAATGTAGAGCTAGGCAGTTAACTGAAATGCAGAAAAGATGGTACAAATAAAACCACTCTCACGAGTCTGATCCTGCAGAAAAGAGTGATTAGTAGTGAGCTCTGGGTCAGAGGATCTTGGGTTCAAATAAGGGCTCTGGCACTTGTAGCTTTCTGACTTTGACAAGCAAATCTCCCCAGATCTTTTATTTTCTTTTTGATCTTAACCAACTTAGCATCTGAACAGTAAACACGTGGGCTTTTTCCACTTCTATACTGGTATTTAACAACCAGCCCACTGTGTGGGGGTTAGGAGGAAGACTTGATTTGTAGCACTTGCCAGTTTTCTAAATATTTCCATCAAAGCGAATTCCAAGCTTCCAAAGTGAAGTCACTAAACTCATGGTTCAGAACAATGAGTGTACAATCAGCTCTTGTGAGCTGGTATGAGCTGGCTCTAGCACGCAACAGAATCTTTCCCTTGCACTTCCCTTGTTTTTCATGTTTTCATTTTGCTTTTGATTTGCCACAAAATCAAAATGGTTACCTCATTTTGTGCTTTAGTTTCCACATCTGTAACATGAAAACGTAGTTATAAACATATCTCATAGTATTGCTTTGAGTATTAGACAAGACCAGTAATGTGAAATGTCTTGTGTATAATAACTAGTCAATAAAATAGATATACATATTATGTGTACAGGCCAAATTTGTTTTACACAATTGAAGATCTTGATTTTTTCCTTTTATTTTAAAATTCCAATATAATTAATGTACAGTTTTACATTAGTTTCAGTTGTATTATATAGCAATTCAACAATTCTACACATTACTCAGTGCTCATCACTGTAAGTGTACTCTAATCCCCTTTACCTATTTCATCCATCTACTACTCCCTCCCACCTCCCCTGTAGTAATAATCAGTTTGGTCTCTACAGTTAAGAGTCTATTTTTTATTTTCATTTGTCTCTTTTTTTGTTTTGTTTCTTAAATTCCACATATGAGTAAAATCATAGGGTATTTGTCTTTATCTGACTTATTACACTTAGTATTATACCCTCTAGGTCCATGTTATTACAAATGGCAAGAATTCATTTTTTATGGATGAGTAATATTCCATTGTGTGTATGTATGTATGTGTGTGTATATCCACATCTTCTTTATCCATTCATCAGTCGATGGACACTTGCATTGCTTCCATATTTTGGCTATTGTAAATAATGTCGCAATAAACCTAGGGGTTCATGTATCTTTTTGAATTAGTGTTTCTGTATTCTTTGGGCAAATTTCCAGTAGTGGAATCACTGGATCCATATGATCCATATGGTAGTTCTATTTTTAATTTTTGGAGGAAACTCCACCCTGTTTTCCACAGTGGCTGCAGCAGTTTGTATTTCCACCAACAGTGCACAAGTGTTCCTTTTTCTCCACATCCTCACCAATACTTGTTGTTTTTGTGTTTTTGATGAAAATCTTGATTTTAAGTACTCTGGTTACCCCACTAACTTTGACTATCCATTGCAAATACCTAACTAGTTCTAAGGAAAACTGCTGAAGGGGGAAGAGTTAAGATGGTGGAGAAGTAGGGGGATCCTGAGCTTCTCTCATCCCTCAAACATGGCTAGATGGTTATCAAATTAGTCTGAACACCCAAGAAGTCAATCAGAGGTCTGAGAGAACAAAAACTGCAAGTCTACAAGTAGAAAAACACCACCTTTGGAAAGCCTTCGGGGAGCAAAACAGTCCACCTACTGGAGGCCAGAGCTGCTTACACCAAGCCCCGCCCCCATGCTCCTGGAGAAGCATTTCCACAGAAACGAGTCAACCTGAGAATCAGCCCAGCAGGCCCCTCCCCGAGAAGACCAGCACAAACAACTACCTTGCACCAAATTTATTGATCATAGAGTGCTACAAAGCTTCAGCTCTAGGGGACATAGGATTGAGCTTCCTTTTTACTTTTATTTCTTTTAAATTTATTATTTTTTCATTTATTTTCTTATAGTTCCAAATCTTTTATTAATCTTTCATTATTAACTTTTTAAATTTTATATGCTTTTCATATATATTTTTTATTTTTTTCTACTTTCATTTTATCTTATTTTTTTATTTTAGGATCTAGATTCTCTTAACAAGTAGACCAAAACACACCCAGGATCTAGTGGGTTTTTTTGTTTTCTTGTTTTGTGTTTTTGTTTTCCTTCCTTCGTTTTTTGCTTTGTCTGTTTGTTTCAGTTTTTTGTGTTGTTTTTTCTCTGTCTTCTTTTCTTTTCTGGGCAAAATGATGAGATGGAGGAATTCACCCCAAAATAAAGAACATAAGGTAGAATTCACAGCCAGGGATTTCATCAATACAGACATAAGTAAGATGTCTGAACTAGAATTGAAAACAATAATTATAAGGATACTAGCTGGGCTTGAAAAAAGCATAGAAGACACTAGAGAATCCCTTACTACAGAGATAAAAGAACTAAAATCTTGTCAGGCCAAAATTAAAAATGCTATAACCGAGATATAAACATAAATAGGCGGCATAAAAACAAGGATGGATGAAGCAGAGGAACAAATCAGTGATATAGAAGATAAAATTATGGAAAATAATGAAGCCAAAAGGAAGAGGGAAAGAAAGGTAATGAACCATGAAGGTAGAAGAAGGGAACTCAGCACCCTAGTAAAATGTAATAACATTTGTATCATAGGAGTCCCATAAGATAAAGAGAGAGAGAAAGGGGCAAAAGGTGTATTCCAACAAATTATAGCTGAAAACTTCCCTAATCTGAGGAAGGACACAGACATCAAAATTCAGGAAGCACAGAGAACTCCCATTAAATTCAAGAAAAGCCCACCATCAGAAAGTCATATCATAGTCAAATTCACAAAATAGACAGACAAGGAAAGAATCCTGAAAGCAGCAAGGGAAAAATTAACCTACAAGGGAAGACAGATCAGCTTTGTAGCATATCTGTTCACAAAGACTTGGCAGGCCAGAAAGGAGTGGAAGGAATTATTCAGTGTGCCAAATGGGAAAAATATACAGCCAAGAATTCTTTATCCAGCAAGGCTGTTATTCAGAAAGGAAGGAGAAAGAGTTTTCCAGACAAACAAAAACTAAAGGAGTTCGTGACCACTAAACCAGTCCTGCAAGAAATTTTAAGGGGAACTCTTTGAGGGGAGAAAAAAAGACCAGAAGCAACAAAGACTAGAAAGAACCAGAGAATATTACCAGAAACACCAACTCCACAGGTAACACAAGGGCACTAAACTCATATTGCTCAATAATCACTCTGAATGTAAATGGACTAAATGCTCCAATCAAAAGACAGAGGGTATCAGAATGGATAAAAAAGCAAGATCCATCTAAATACTGCCTACAAGAGACTCATTTTAGACCTAAAGTCACCCGCAGATTGAAAGTCAGGGGATGGAGGACCATCTATCATGCTAACAAATGTCAAAAGAAAGCCAAAGTAGCCATACCTATAGCAGACAAACTAGATTTTAAAACAAAAGATGAAGAAGGGCATTTTATCATAATTAAGGGGTCAATCCATCAAGAAGATCTAACAATTGTAAATATTTATGCCCCCAACTTGGGAGCACACATATACATAAATCAATTAATAACAAACAAAGAAACTCATTGATGATAATACAATAATAGTAGGGGACTTTAACATCCCAATTACAGCAATGGACAGATCATCTAAGCAGAAAATCAACAAAGAAACAATGGTTTTGAAGGACACACTGGACCAAATGGACTTAACAGATATAGTCAGAACAATTCATCCTAAAACAGCAGAGTACACATTCTTCTCGAGGGCACATGGAACATTCTCCAGAATAGATCACACACTGGGTCACAAATCAGCCCTCAACAAGTACAAAAAGATCGAGATCATACCATGCATATTTTCAGGACACAATTCTATGAAACTGGAAGTCAACCACAAGAAAAAAATTGCAGACCTCAAAAACATGCAGGTTAAAGAACATCCTATGAAAGAATGAATGGGTTAATCAGGAAATTAAGGAAGAAATTTTAAAAATACATGGAAGCAAATGAAATTGAAAGCACAACAGCCCAAAACCTTTGGGATGCAGGAAAGGCAGTCTCAAGAGGAAAAGTATATTACAGTACAGGTCTACCTCAAGAAGCAAGAAAAGTCTCAATATACAGCCTAAATTTACACTTAAATTTAAGCGCTAGAAAAGAACAGCAAATAAAGCCTAAAGCCAGCAGAAGAAGGGAAATAATAAAGACTAGAGCAGAAATCAATGATATAGAAACAAACAACCCAGTAGAACAGATTAACAAAACTAAGAGCTGGTTCTTCAAAAAATTAATGAAATTGATAAGCCCCTACCAGACTTATCAAAAAGAAAAGAGAAAGGACCCAAATAGATAAAATCACAAATGACAGAGGAGAGATCACAACCAACATCACAGAAATACAAACAATTACAAGAGAATACTATGCCAACAAACTGGACAATCTGGAAGAAATTCCTAGAAACTTACAAACTACCAAAACTGAAACACGAAGAAATTGAATACTTGAACAGACCCATAACCAGCAAAGAAATTGAATCAGTAATCAAAAATCTCTGGGCTATGGGCGCCTGGGTGGCTCAGTTGGTTAAGCGACTGCTTTCGGCTCAGGTCATGATCCTGGAGTCCCTGGATCGAGTCCCACATCGGGCTCCCTGCT